TCTTGTTTGAACGGAGTCTTTGGTAAGTGGAAAGTGGAAGAGGGCACAGCAGTAGGTGAACTCAGTCCTATTTTGACATTTTGTTGGAAGCCTGGAGGAGGGTCAAACCTAAGAAGTCCAAGTTCAAGCTGAAGCAGATAACCTGTGCAGAATTTCACAGCAGGTCTTCTACCTGCAGTGTTGGTATAATGTTCTTTTGAAATGTGTACACCTTACCCTTGTTCATTCAAATGCTGATTTCACCCCCCACCCCACTCTCTGGTTTCAATCCGGATATTGCATTGTGATACTTATTTTAAGCATCCTGTCTCAACTGTGTGTAAAGAGGCCAAAATAAAACAACTAGCTACAATGTTGTGCAAAGGGAGGAGCCAGAGGGAAGGAAATGAGTGGGAGGAGAAAGGGTGAGAGAGCTAGGAGAACAGAGCTGGAGGAGAAATCTTGGAACTACGTGGAGATAGACTGGACATAATATTTCACAAAAAGCCAGTATAATGTGGGAAATCTAAATGTTAAGAAACTATGAGGGCTTGGAGGTTTAGGATGGAGTAAATATTGCCTAGCATTGTAGAGAGGGGCGGAATGGCTAGCAGCCTGTGGGAACAACTCAGAGCCTCTCCTGAGGATTGCTGTAGAGCTCTTCTCTTGATGTCTCCAGGGCTGGTATTAAGGATTCCACTGCGACCAGGATGGCTTCAGCTGGATGGTGACAGAATCCTAGGAACTTACCCAGCCTTTCAACTTACAAATCAATAGATCTCATTTGTATTTTTATGGTTGTTTCAAAAATGACAAGCATGGAAGGTTCTGTGTCGAAAGCAAAATTTTATATTTTCACATACTTTTAGAAATAAATAAACATTCTAAAACACAGAAATGATTTGGGCTAACTATACAAAGGTGTGTAAACACATGGAAAGTTATTGTAAATTTCCATGTTGCCTGGAAAACACACATATGACAAGTGTCTTCACTTCTTGAGCAACAACACAGTTCTTTTGAATTAATAGGGTTTTGATTTTTAAATATCACTAAAATCTTAAGTTTTTTAGCATATCTAACATACTAGATCTGAGTATGTGTGTGTATGGATATTGACATGGCTTGTTTAGCGAAATGTCTTTTATGGAAAACACAAAATGAACTCAATGGTATTTTTGCAACTTTTTTGTCTCATACTTTGTCTAGGCATTAAAAAAAAAAAAAAAAAACCAAAACAAAAACCAAAAAAAAAACCTTGTCTTTGGCTTATATGGTTTTCAATTTTGTGTTTTTTATGAAAATTCTATATGAGTGAATGTGTGTGTCTCTGTGTCTCTATTTTTTTTTTCTTGTAAATTTTCTTTGGCTCTGTTTTGTGCTATTATATTATTTTGTTGTTGCTGCCTATTTATAATGAGTGTGTGTGTGTGTGTGTGTGAGAGAGAGAGAGAGACGGAGAGAGAGGTATGGATTGGATTGGTGTTGAGGTGGGGGGTTCTGGGAGGAGTTCTGGAAGGGAAAACATGATCAGAATATGGTGGGACAAGAATATATTACTAGTTCAAAGCTAACTTGGGCTATACAGTGAGATCTGTGTCAAAATAACAACAATAAACAACGAATTTTTAAAGGAATACTGTAACGCTTACTCTTACCTCTGATTTTTTTTCACATATACACACAAGTACCTTTTTGTAAATATTCTTACATGTTAAAATGATGGGTCATGGAAAAATTAAAAGGTTTTTCATGTGAGCTATTTAACAGTCTTTTAAGATGGCACCGATTTGTATTCCGGTGAACCTAGGAGTTGAAATTTTCTTGTGATTTTTTTCCCCCATCATACTGTATACACTACTATAGGTTCACAACATCTTGTGTGTATGTGAGTATGTGTGTGTATATAAAACTAGGCCACCACATCAAATTAAAGACTTTTGTACATCAAAAGGACAGTATAAAGAGTAAAAGGACAATCCACAAAATGAGAAAAAATATTTGCAAATTACCTATCTAATAAAGGTTTTAACATCTAGAATATGTAAAGAAAAACATAACAATTTAAAAACGAGCAAAACAATTGAATCGACATTTCTCTAAAGAGAAAAACAAATGAACAATTAGCATATGAAAAGAAGCTCAATATCATTCACTGGAGAAATGCAAATCTAAGCCACAATGAACTACTATGTCACTACTAAGATGGAAATAATGGAGAAAATGATAGGGAGATAACAAGTGTTGGCAGGAATTTGAGAAGCTGAACCCTATATGTTTCCAAAGGGGATAAAAATGACACATCTGCTGAGGAAGACCTTTGGCCTCAAAAAGTTAATGATCCTACAATAGCTGGTAACTAACAGAGGCCCACAACTGGTCAACATGCAGAGAGTAAGAGACTGCAAAGTGCTCATCTTTAAATGGATACCATTCCCCCAAAGGCTCAGGAATCTTGGCGAAAGAGGGGCTGTGGTGGCAAGGCTGGGAGAGCCAGGGGGAGCCATGAAGACAAGGAAGCGATGCATTCTGCACACAGCAGGGCATTTGCAAATATGGACTCAAAAGTGATTGTGACAGGATGCACAAGACCCTGCAAACTTAGGCCAGACAAAACCCCAACATGAAAATGGGCATGGATCCCTACCCCTAGCTGATGAGCTAATGGAATTCAGTAACTGCTGGGAGAAGGAGACTCCTTTTCTTTAGTAATCTGGTTGAGGGTGTGTTGACCATACTTCAGGGCAGGCTCCACACTCAAGAAGATTTGGCAACATAAACTGAACTGGGACAGAGCAAGAAAAAAAAAATAGATTGAGAGAAAGCACAAAATTAGGTGGGTAGAGAGATGCAGATGGATCTGGGAGGAGTTGGGGGCTAGAGATGAATATGAGCAATGCAGTGGATGAAATTCTCAAAGAATTAATAAAACAGCAAAAAGAAAATAAATAAGGTAATAGAATCACCTGACTCAGCAATTCCATCCTTAGGCATTTACTGAAGAGAACTGAAAACACGGATTCAATAGATTCTTTCCTATAGCTCCTTACAGCAACATTATTCTCAGCAGACAGCAGGGGGAATGACAGAGTGTTCAGTTTTTACATAAATCATGGTGTACTTATGCAGCGAAATCTTGTCCAGTCATAAAAAAGAATCAATTCTGATAAAAACTGCAACACATATGAGCCTTGAAAATGTGCCAAGTGAGATAAGTCAGACACAAGGAACAATTACTATGTGAACCCACTAATATGTCTAGAATACACAAACTCCTAGAGACACAAAGGAGATGGGCTAAGGTTAGAAGGAAAGCAGTTCATGTCTAGTGGGTACAGAGTTTATGTTTTAAAATTGTTGCACAGAATTGGGAGAAGATAGTGGTATAGTTGCATGTCATGAATATGATTTAATTGTACAAACTGAACTTACACTTAAAAAACGGTTGCAATGGCAAATTATACCAAGCAGGCTAGTTAACAGTGATGCATCAGTTTCCACAGTGAAAGAAAGAAAATACTGAGGGCATTAGATCTGTCTGACTCATGAGTGCTGAAAAAAAATCAATCATGAAATTGAGGAACAAAGGGTCAAGATGCAGTTTTCCCCGGCTTCTACTTTTGACTCCACAGACTCATGTTATATATGCACCAGGAAACAGAACAAAATAAGAACATACCATATAAACAAAGTATTCATTTCAGAAACACATTAGGAAAAATAATGAAAAGAACCAGAAGGAACTAGGAAAAGGCCATGAGCAAAATTTAAAAAATAATAACTTAACTTGGAAAGCAAAGCACAAAATAAAATAAAGTATGATCTTTGAAGACACTTGAAATGACTCCTTTGGAACACTGATGAAGGAAAAGAAAGCTGATGAGTAAGCAGAGAGAAAGCCCCAATTATACACACCACAGCGATGGATTTTTAATATACCTTGCATGTAGGTTTCAAGCAGAAAATCAAAATGCAAAGAGATTAAAAAATATATTTTGGATGCTGGGATCAAACCCAGGGTCTTTGCATGCTCTACCCTCAAGCAACTTTCCTCAGCCACAGACAGGGTTAGTAATTGATGTGAGAGTAGAAAACTAGAAAAAAAAAATCAGCTTTGGGGGAGAGGTTGGGAACGAGACTTAAGATCCTGTTGGAAAACAGTTCTGTGGAGTTAAGTGTGGAAAGCAGGGAGAACAGTAGCCTGGCCTTTACACTTCAAACACCAGGGAACTATTGAAAGCATGATCTGAAAAGCAGGTCTCAGCTCAAAAAAAAAAAAAAAAAGTAAAGGGTATTCCCAAAGAACAAACCACATGGAGCTCTAAGCTAGAGAACTGGACTGCAGCTATGGTGGTTCACATTGCCAGCTTCAATAACAAACTGGTTAAGATTAGAATGACTTCCATTTCAGGATAAGCAAGAAAGCCATGGCATTGCATATCTCAAGAAGACAGCCAACCAAGCTGAGACCCTCACACCCACCCAACCACTCAGTGGTTGGCTGGAAAAGGTAAATTAGGAAGGAAAGGAGCTTGCAAGGAAGCAGATGTGTCTGAAAGGGTTTTGTGTGCTACTTTCCAGCTGCATTTCTAGGACTTCCTGAGGAGTACCTGTTATCCTGGATTTTGTATTGGTGTAAAGGTCTGCTTTTTTTTTTTTTTTTAATAAATGCTGGTATTTTTCTGTGACTTGGGTTTTTAATTTTATACTGTGTTTAGAAAGAAACTCTTTGTGTTTCCTGATAACAATAAGGAACAACGGACATGTCTTTAATAATAAAAAGAGAAACAAAGCGTTGAAGCCATAAATATATTGTAATGCCAACAGCAGGGACAAACAAAGGTAAAAACACAAAGAAGCAAGTGATAAGGTTTAACTTCCCTCCCAAGCCTTCCGTAAATAACACCCACCCTCACCTCTAAGTTTGTGTAACTTCTTTAGGCAGAGAACTGAACACTAAAACCACTCAAACAAAGCCCCTTTTCTCTACTCTCTAATTTTCCCTCTGCAGGGTAGGCCCCTCAGCTTGACAGCCTGGGGAGGCCCAGCGTGGTGGATGGGGCAGACAAAAGGGCTCCTCGTACAGGAAATGCGGCAGAGGAATACAAGGGTGTAAGACATGACCCCCCATAGTGGGGAAAATCAAAATGGAGCCCGGGTGCCAGGGGAAAGCACACCGGTGGCCCTGGGAAAGGAGGCCCAGCTGCCCCCACATTCTCCCTCCGGGAGGTATCGCTGCTCTGCCAACTGCCCATCTGGCTCCGGTTAGAAAACCACACTTGGACCAGGTCCTTCTGCAGCCGGAGGCGCCCAGCAATATAGCTGATTTGCTGGGGCGTGGGCTCTGGACACTGCAAGAACAGTTTCTCCAGATTGCTCCCAATGCGTCTCTCTCTGCTTGCACGTCTCCGCTTCCGGGCCTGCTGCAAGATCATCTCCATTCTGCATATGCCCAGAAGGTTCTTCTCATCTACTTCCTCTAGCCACATTTTCAGCAGGGGTCGCAGCTTCCACATATTGGCGAGGCTGAGTTGCTGGGCCTCGAAACGGCATATGGTTGTCTGGCTGAGAACCTTCCCAAACATAGCTCCTACAGCGAACCCCACATCGGCCTGTGAGTACCCCAGGGTCATCCTCTTCTGTCTCAGCTCCTTGGCCAGCTGCTCCATTTCTTTCTGTATGGCAGAAACATCTTCTGGTAGTGCCAAATTTGGCATGTACCTCAGAGCGATGTAGGGTCCTGGGCAGGTATCCTCAGAGGACCTCTGGGACCAGGCCCTTGCCTCACCAGCTCCGTAGGGTGCTACCCCTCCTCGGAATTCATAAGGTGAGGGAACCAGAGGTACTCCCCACACCCCAGAGCCTGGACAGATGCCTGGCCCCGTACCAGGCCGCACCATTAACCTGCTGGTGGCTGCTTGGCTGCTCAACCAAGTTGGGGTGTCAACTCGCACGGGCACTGGCCCTTCCAGGCCACCACCTCTATTGCCTGGGAGGGGGAAGACGTTTGAAGACCTGCGCCCGGCCATGGGGTGGACGGCACCCCCAGCAAGAGTCTGGTAGGAACTGATGGCTCTCGAGGCTTCTGAACAGCCACCAGCCTCGCCCTCGAGCCCCGCCCCCAAGTGGGCGGAGACAGCATTGCAAGCAAGAGTAAGGATCGGAGTGTGTTTGGAAGCTGGGGCTTGGAGACTCAGGTAACTTACTGAATCCTCTGGGTAGAAAACTCCGAAGCTCTTGTCCGGACCGTTGCTTTCAACTTCTAACTCAGTACAAATCTGGAGTTTTGCACCTCCATGCAGTCAGAGTCTCTCGGCCACTAACTGGATCCTATCCTTGAATGGGACCCAAGCATTCACTTTGAGCTCTCAGAAACTCAGGTGTCCTTTTCCTCTCACACCTTCGGAACCACCATTTTGGCTTCACAAATACTAACTGGCCATCTACATTTCTACTGTCTTTATGCCAACAGCATACTCTCTGTCCCTGTTCCTGAAGAAAGTTAGGCAAACATGCTGCAATTTCTAATTAGGGTCAGTTTCCTGCCTCAAATGCTAGAGCTAGTCTCACAGTGTGCCACTCCACTCTACTCCTTCATTGGCAGAATTTCTGAATAAAATTAATGTTTCTCCCACCAGCCCTGCAAATGTTCATTCTACGGCAGCTTTCCATTCCAAGCTTCCTCACTCAATAGACAACAAACTCTGTCATTTTTTTTTTCCTCTCTGGAGTCAGGATTCTGGGCTCACACGATATGCAGCTGGTTACTGAGAATGATCTTTGCACTATCTGACTCACCAAACACCAGTCTCTTCTATCCATGACCTCTCTCCTACCAGAGATACAAAGATCTTAATTTGTCTTCCCACTATGGTACTAACTCAGGCATTCAACTATAGGCCCCACAAGAGGAAAAGGAAGAGAGGAGAAGAAAGATCTAACATCTGGCCCAAAGCTTCTAAAGATGATGATGAAGAGCCTTTGGCTGGAAGATCTCAGCCTCCTGCCTGTTAATTCCTTAAGTCAACTACTTAATGTAGCTGTTTCAACCAATGTCTACAGAAATTGGTTTTGGGGTTCCTGTAACCTCCCAGCTACCAAATCCAATAGGATTGTAAAAGTTCAGATTCTACTAATGTTCTCTGCAGTACCTGGCAAAAATAAGTATTCTTTTTTGCTCCTTCTTTAAACATTTATATGGGAGTATCAGTCAAGTCCTCTCTGACTGGTTTTCTGACTTCCATATCTGTATTTCTGTGGCTCAAATTCAATTAGTTTTTTGCCTCTTCTCCAGAGGCCACCAGGCAAGCTCCTGACAGCATCGTCACTCAGAAACCCAAGTGTAAACTTCAGCGCTGTTCTTCAGCTTTTTCACATCAACAAGGCATCAGAACGTGTATACCAGGCGTTTTGAAACATCAGAACTTGCTTTTTCTTTTCCTTACTTATTTAGGCCACACTACAGTAACAACTGGCTGGCTGTTGCCTTATTCTGCTTGTCTTTCAGGTTCATCTATCATATGACTGCTAAAGACAGATTTCCAAAATCAAAACCAAACCAATCCACTGTATGTTTCTTTACTGCTGTGTCAATAGTCTCTACAATAGTATCTGACATATACAAGATAATCAGAGAATAAAAGCAACTTCCTGACACCTATAAGACTCAGGTTAGATATATCCTCATGGAGACCCTTCCCCAGGCAGAAAAGAGGTCTCTATTACTTTTTACTTAATCAAGCAAGTTTTTGCTACATTATTGGCGTAGATAACAACATTTCTTTGATGTTCTTTGTATCTTCAATTTAATGAGATGCATGGAGGAGCCAGGAAGTCTGGAACAGGAGAGAACCCCTGACTAACATAGTGTGCATGATGCATTTTTGCTGAGTGGCAAGTATTATAGTGCTGCTTGTAAAGTAATGCCAACGCAACAGTAAGAGGTTTGACCTCCCCTCTTCTGCTACAACATGGGACTTGTCATATCCTCTCTAGATGAGGGGAGCCCCTTGAGATTAAATCAGACTCAGAACTACAGAAAATAAGCTTGTGGATATGGCCTTGAAGTTGTGAATGAGAAAATGCAACCGCCATGTCGGAATGGCTGGGTGTCTAACTTATCTGAAGTTCATCAGTTTTGCTGGAATAAAGTATGTGCTCAAGGCAGGACCCTTGTCTCAGCCACTGCTAGATCCCTGGCACCCCGAACTATACTTGGTGCATAGTACAAAGAGAAGAAATTCTTATTTATTCATCTATCTTTGTGGTGGTAGAAAAAGAAATGTCCAGTTAATGTTAAATAAATGAAGTTTGTAGCCTCAGTGCTGAAAAGACGTCCAATGTGCCTTGGATTGCATGACAGTCTCTGAAATCCAGCTTACAATGTAAAGAATTTCATTAAGGAATAATTTTACTGACATCTATTCTTTCCACGCATATATGCACCTCCCTCATGCCCCAAATCACAAAGCAACCAGTGTCTGCTAAGGTGGATCACAAAGAGAGATAAAGAAGAGACAGGGCAATTATACATTAAGGTGTGCATAGAAAAAATAACTCACTCCCACCAGAGAACCAGAGAGAAAAGATTCATTAGTTGTTTAAAAACAACAGTTGAATAGAAACATTTTATTGAATTGGAAAAAAAAAAACTGATGAGTTCAAATGAATTTGAACTAAGCTTTATTATTTTAAATGAATTAAAACAGAGTGGCTAAAAACATTAATTTGAAAGTGAGGCTATATTAACTTGATAAGTTTTAAAATTAACTTGGGTCGTCTCGATTAAGACTGTCTTTATACTCAGCTAATCTCATTTTGCCAATGTGCGTACCTCCTGGATCCTGCATATGGGGCCACGGCAACACGGAGCTGAATTACGTAGCTAAGGAAACTGTGGCATCTCTTTAAAAGGACATTTAATGCACCATGGAAGTAGTATGGTCAGAGCAAGTAAGAGGTAACATTTGGATGGTAAAACAGAGATCGAAGCAACAGCAGATGAGAATGCCCAAGACAACCAGCACTGTTTGGACTGAAAATTATCACCTCTAGCAAATTTGGGGCTCTTCATAAGGGGTTAGATTATGGTGTAAGGATCAGGCTGTGCTTCTCCACAGAAATCACCGGGAAAGGCTGAGAAGCATGAGTTCCCAGCTGTTCAGTATCTGAATGAGGGAGAAGAGAAGCTAAACTGACAGAAGAGCAGGTCATCCACACTTCCCTAAAGGGAAATCACATGCTTTCTGTTATTACTATCTTTGGAACTAAGGAGAGTGTTCTGAAAAAGATGTTTTAAGTGGAAATGAAATACATGAAGTATGAGCTATGCTTAAGTTTTATCTAAATCTCTCTTATACTGAGAAGGCAAATAGAGCTACCAAGATCCACAAAGATATTGACAATCAGGAAATGGTGAAAGAAAGTTTGGTAATAAAGACCCTTGTAGGGTGTGGCTTATCTTCTGGGGAAGGTCTTGCCCATGTGTGCTGAGACACACCAGGTCCCTCCCATCTGCACTTGCAAATACATTTGCTGCCTTAAGCAATTAGCTGGCCTTTGATGTGGTTGCTTTCAAGCTAGAACAGGATACGGCATAATTTGTATGGATGTGCCAAGCAATGTCGTAAGGCTGGCATGAGCTATCTATCCAGTGTTCTGAGGATAGTAAGTTCAGTGAAAAACATAACAGCTTGTGAGGGTAAACATCATTAACTTAATGTCATACTGTTGGTCAGTTATATCACTGCAAAGGTGATGATTTCATTTTTCCAAATGTGACACTTAGAAAGTGCTTCATACTTCAGGTAGAAAAGAGTATAAAATGAGGGGCTGGAGAGATGGCTTATTACTTAAAAGCACTTTATATTTTTGCAGTGGACCAAGCCTAGTTCCCAGCATGCACATGGATGTTTACAGCCATTCATATTTCCAGTTCCAGGAGATCCAATGTCCTCTTCTTGCCTTTGATGGGCCCAGGCAGACCATGGTGCACATACATGCACGCATGCAAACACTCATATACACAAAATGAAAAAAAAATCTTTTAAAAGTACATGAGATGAAATAAGAAGTAAAATTATTTGGGAAAAGTGGTGCAAAGGAGGACACAGGAAGGCAGAGGGAATAATTGTGACTTGGATGCAGCTGATATGATCAAAGCGTACTATGTGAATTTATTAAATGAAAGAAGCCAGTTATTTTGTGCAAATGGTATGCCAGTAAAAAACTGAGTTTAAGAGAAGCCCTAGTTTTCTAATAGTTCAGAAATAAAACAATCTTTTTGAAGCCACTTATCAGAGCCAGCCAAGAATAATGAGAAAGCCACACAGAAAAAAGCAAGGTGGCCTGGTTTTCTATTTCCCCCTCCATAGGCATCTGGTCAGCATCAGCACATCTAGACAAAGTCCCTCAGAAAGCAGACACAGGTCCACAATCCCCATGATGGCTAGGAAGCAAACGAAAAAATTCAGAGACTAGTTACAGAAAAGTCTACTGGATTTAAAAAGTAAAGTTAGGATAGTAGGAAACTCTAGAATTAAGTATTATTAAGAAAGATTCCTTGAAAACTCCATGCCAACTAGGGTAGCTACACCCAAGAAAACACAGGAAATAAATAATTCCACAACAGCAAAAGAAAAAGAAGGAAAGCTGGCAGCTCCAAGATGGCGGCGACCAGTATACAGCTTATCTGAGGGGCAGAGGATCTGAGTGTCCAAAGTCTGTGAGTAGACAGGTGGCTGGATCTAGTGTTTTGAACTTGGGGCTTCCCAGATTACAGAGAACATCCTGTGAGTTGGGGCCAATAGGATACAGGCCTGTGGCTGTCTCCTGGGTCCGAGAATCACAAACCCCTGGCATTTGCTGCATACCACAGTGAGTGTGAAACCCTAGGTCCAGGGACCCTCTGCTCTAGCAGCTAGGTATCTGAGCCTTCCTGATCCCCTGAGGGCAGCTTCAGGTTTCCTGGGATGTTTGGGGCTTATAAGATCTAGGCCCTGTTGCCATTTCCCTGGTCTGAGAGACATGA